AATTCTGGCTTTTTCTCAAAATTCTGACTTTTTCTCAAAATTCTGACTTCTCAAAATTCTGGCTTTTCCCTCAAATGTCTGGCTTTTCCCTGAGTCATCATGTTAATCACAAAGCTATCATATGCCTCAAACAGTCCTGATGCTCTTCTAGGTAATCACACATCCTGTCATGTTCACAGCTACAGTTGGGATACCTCTGATATCATGGTACTCTCATACTGGAAGAGGACATTCAGTATTTTCCCAACATATTTTTATATATATTTGTATTTTTGTATTCTGGATTGTGGGAAACGGTATTTCGATCTCTGTCTGTACACACAAACTGAAAGATTGACTTTGACTTTGAGGTGTCGGTGGCCTGCCTGACGGAGCGCATCCACCAGATGGAGGAGAACCAGCACAGCACGGCGGAGGAGCTCCAGGCCACTTTACAGGAGCTGTCCGACCTGCAGCAGATCACCCAGGAGCTGAACGGGGAGAACGAGCGCCTGGGCGAGGAGAAGGTGATCCTCATGGACTCCCTGTGCCAGCAGAGCGACAAACTGGAGCTGTACGGCCGGCAGATCGAGTATCTACGCTGCCTCCTGGAGGAACACCACATCTCCTACAGCCTGGAGGAGGACATCAAGAGCGGACGCTACCTGGAGCTGGAGCAGCGATACGGAGACCTGGCAGACAACGCCCGCTTCGAGAGGGAGCAGCTGCTGGGCGTTCAGCAACATCTGTCCAACACCTTAAAGATGGCCGAGCAGGACAACGCCGACTCCCAGGAGATGATCGGAGCGCTGAAGGAGAGGAACCACCAGATGGAGCGCATCATGGAGTCAGAGCGGCAGGGCCGAGCCGCCATGGGAGCGGCGCTGGAGGAGTATAAGATGGCGGTGAGCAGCGACCAGGCGGAGCTGAGTCGCTGCAGAGCTCAGCTGGACCAGGAGAGGCAGAGGGTCGCAGAGCTCTACTCCCTCCACTCGGCGGGGGACAAGAACGATATCTGCCAGCTGCTGGAGGGCGTGAGGCAGGGGAAGGAGGAGGCGGAGGCTAAGGCTGCGAAGCTGCAGGAGGAGCTGGAGAAAGCTCACAGTGAACTCACACGCCTGCAGGAGACCTTCAGTAAGGTGAGTCAGAGCCTGAGTAGGGATGCATCGTATTCAAACTCACCTTTTCACTCTTTCCTTCAACTCCTAATCCTCTAACCCCTCGCCCTCATTCCACCTAGCCTAGCACTTTTTACTCTAGTTGTTGTTTCTCTTCTTTACTTGCTTGTAAAGCGCTTTGAGCAGCAGGAAAAGCTCTATATGAATCAAATGTAGTATTATTATATTTATCTGAGCAGACAATATATATATTTCTTTGAATTACAGAAAATGCTCAGATAGGGCTGCTCAATTAATCGTATTTTAATCGCGATAACGATTATGGCTTGCAACGATTACGAAAACAACGTAATCGAAATAAAACTATTATTATTTTATTAGGGTCTGAGAGCTAGGTCGGCGAAGACCCTATTGAAATCGGTCGCGCAGCGACCGATAAACCTGCGAAACACACACAAAACAGGGAAAACGACCGGCAAAAGCACAGAAAAGGTTCGGAAATCATGACGGGTGATAGGCCGCGTGAGCCCAGTCACGTGGGCGAAGCAGTCACGTGGGCTAAGCCCACGTGACTGCAACTCGCATGATTGATATCGGTAGGATCAATTTAGTCGCTCGCAATGCGAGCGATAACCATGCAAAACCCACACAAAACAGGGCAAAAGACGGGCAAAAGTGGCCTAAATCATGACAGTAGGTAGCCCACGCCAACGGTCATCCTAGGCCGTCCATAAACATGATTGATATCGGTCCGATTATTATTATTATTATTCTTCTTCTGATTATTATTTGAATACATTGCGCGCACTTTTGACCGCCGCAACATATGTGAAAACTCACCAAATTTCGCATGCGCATCACAAGTCGTGAAAATAGCGATGTGTAATTGGTACCGAAACTTTGCGTAAAAAATTGCGTAGACCACGCCCACTTCCGTTTTTAACGTTAACTCCCCCTACTTTAACTTTCACGTAAACCAACGAAACTCGCTACGCATATCTAGGGTGCGGAGACGAGCAAAAAAGCCTCTTGGAGGGGTATAAAATAACGTACAGCAAGTCGGCCATTTTGAATTTGGCGTTGGAAAAACGCGATTTATCGCGTTTTCGTCCTCCGCACTTTAACGAACTCCTCCTAGGGAATTTATCCGTACGACTCCAAATTCGTCGGGTAGCTTCTCGACAAATGGGCGATCTAAAGT